GCAGAACTAGAACTCACTCTCTCCTGGTGGTTGGTCCAAAGTCACTCAGTTGGCATTCAAGCCTAAGGCAGGACTAGAACTCCCAGCCTCTGGGTGATTGGCCCAAAGACACCCAGCTGACAGTCAAGGCTAAGGCAAGACTAGAACTCCCAGTCTCTGGTGATTGGCCCAAAGTCATCTAGTTGGCTTTCATGCCTAAGGCAGAACTAGAACTCACTGTCTCCTGGTGTTTGACCTCAAGTCATCCAGCCGGCTTTTATGGTTACAGCAGAACTAGAATTCACTGTCTCCTGGTGTTTGACCTCAAGTCATCCAGCCGGCTTTTATGGCTACAGCAGAACTAGAATTCACTGTTCCTGACGATTGGCCCAAAGTCACCCTGCCTGCTTTCATTGCTAAGGCGGCACTAGAACTCACCGTCTCTTGGTGATTGGCCCAAAGTCACCCATCCAGCTTTCATGCCTAAGGCAGGACTAGAATTCACGGTCTCCCAGTTTCTAACCTTGTGCTTTAACCACTTAAATCAAGCTGTCCATCTTTGGCAGTTTCTCATCTGAGCCCCCTTTTTTTCCCAGGTCCGCTATGTTTCCGACTTCTTCAAGGAGAGGCCCCAGTCATCGTGTGCAGAACAGGACCTTGGGCGTAAACCCAGCATCCCCCTGCCGCTAAGCGAGTCGGAGTGTAACCACTGCAACTATCAGGTCTCTATGTGACCGGGGCGATTTTGAATTGGTTCGATTCCAGCAGCGACCATCTGATCTGCCTTTAATCCGGTATTTTCTACTTTCCTTTGGAACTCATCCAACGAAGAGGGGAAACCGGAAGATTTGGGGTTTTTTTTTCCCTTTCGTTCTTCTTTTTCGTTCGTTTTTAAACCATTTTTTTTTTATTATTATTATTATGCCCGATGCCACTGCACAGCACGACACAACACACGTTTGACACTTGGAAATGCCTGCCTCACCGCCACGTAAGCCAAAGACCAAGGCAGAATCTGAAAAACGTTCCAGCTTTTTTTTTTTGTTTTTTTGTTTTAATCTCTTGCTGAAAAACTTCTGGACAAGCCTGCTTTTTCTGTGTGGGGTTAATAATAATAACACGCCGGTGTATATTTCGACGTTTTATCTGGACTTCGCTCTTGGCTTTGCAAAAGTTTGCAACGGCTTGCTTTGCAACAGTTAGCGGGTATCTGATAATTCTCTCTCTCCCCAAAACCCTGGAAGGATTCCTCAAAATTGATATGGTGTTTTTTAATACCTTTATGTGGGTTTTTCCCCCATTTCCCCCCTTTTAGGGGCCTGATGGGGAATTTAAAGGAAGTTTGTGTTTGAATGCAGACAAACCTTCAGAAATGACCTAGTATGTGAAATATTTGCTCTGGAGTGTCCAATCTTGACAGTTTTAAAACCGATGGACTTCAACTCCCAGAATTCCCCAGTCAGCCATGGCTGACTGGGGAATTCTGGGAGTTGAAGTCCACCGGTCTTAAAGTTGCCAAGATTAAATATCCCAGATTTGCTCCGTAAAAAAAGCAAATTGTCACCCGGATAATATCTTAAAATTTAGTCCGGGTTGAGAGGCCATAAGAAGTACCAATACTGGACATCAGTGATGTTTATTAAACTGCTAAAATGAGGCAATATCTTTCCGATATCAAATTTTTGTACAGGCGGGTTTGCGTTTCCCAATGGATAAAATCAAGCAAGATTGAATAAAATTGAAACGGAATTTTTTAAGTCCCTGCTGACTTTTTGTTTTTGTTTTATTGCTCTTGCTGCTAATGATCATATTTTTACCAAAGCTTTGAAATCCAAAATTTTTAGCAAGGAGGGGGATGGGAAAAACTCCAAATTATGGGCTTTCAGTGCTACCACAAGAGAGAAGGAAATTACTTAAACAGTCTGAGCAGCAGACATTTCTCATGGGAATTTGGGGGTGGGGAGGGCTTGAATACGTGTATTTTCTGCACGGATGACGAGAAAAGTGTGCAAAAGAAATGAAAGTTTCGATCCTTTTAAGGTTGGTTGAAGAAACTCCTTAGGTGAGTCGTTATGAATTCAGGAAGAGCGAATTTCAAACCGATTACTGTATGCTGACTGTTCAGAAAAAAAGAAAAGGAAAAGGAAATCTATTAAAAACAATCAGGAAAAGAGTTGGATAAAGCCAATACCAATTCATGGAGACGTACAAGGACTCCTCAACTTACCACAGTTCCTTTAGTGACCGTTTTCAGCAGGTTCTGACCAGTTCTAGCAGAAAGTTGAGTAGTTGGGAGAACCGGCCAATCCCACCTCTGACTGGCCCCACCAATCCCACCTCTGACTGGCCCCACCAACCCCATCTCTTCTCTGCCTCCCATTGAGTCCCAGCTGATCGGCTGGGTCTCCTTTGGTTGCCCTGCACAGGAGAACGGAGCTGGAAAGCAGGTTAGTGGGGTGGGGAGGGAATGAGGAATTTGCAGTGACCTTCCCCTGCCACGCCCACCAAGCCACGCCCACAGAACCGGTAGTCACAAAAATTTTAATCCCACCACTGGAAAGGGCTTTGAAAAAAGTAAGCTATGAGCGTTTTTCAAAATTAAAAACGTTGTAGAATCCCTGAGGTCAAAATTTGGACTGGTTCCTATTTATGATGGTTGCAGTGTCCTGGGGTCATGTGAACCTTTTTTCTAAAGCACCCGAAGGGCCAGACAAGGAATAACGGATGGAAACTTGATCAAGGAGAGATACAAGCAGGAAATAAGGAGACATTTTCCAATGGAACAGCTTGTCTTTGGAAGCTGGGGGATCTTCATCACTGGAGGCTTTCAAAAAGCACCGAAGAGGATTAGGGGACTGGAGGTTAAACATTTAAAGGACAGTTGCAGGAACTGGGTATGTCTAGTCTAAGGAAAAGAAGGACTATGAGTAACGTGATAGCAGTCTTCCAATGTCTCAGGGGCTGCCCCAAAGAAGAGGGAGTCAAGCTATTCTCCAAAGCACCTGAAGGCAGGACAAGAAGCAACGGGTGGAAACTAATCAAGGAGAGAAGCAACTTAGAACTAAGGAGGAATGTCCTGACAGAACAATTAACCAGTGGAATGACTTCCCTCCAGAAGTTGTGAATTCTCCAACACTGGAAGTTTTTAAAAAGATGTTGGATAACCCTTTGTCTGAAGTAGTGTAGGGTTTCCTGCTTAAGCAGCGGGTTGGACTAGAAGACCTCCAAGGTCCCTTCCAATTCTGTAATTCTATTCAAAAAAGAGACTGGACTGTCATCTGAAATGCTGTAGAGTTTCCTGCTTGAGCGATGGGTTGGACTAGATGATCTACAAGGTCCCTTCCAACTCTGTTTGTTATTCTGTTCTGTTCTACTCTATATTATATTTATTTTAGTATATTATATTATACTGTATCTTATTCTACTCTATTCTATCCTATCCTATCCTAATCTATTAACTTTCTGGCAAGCAAAGTCAATGGAGAAGCCAGATTCACTTAACCGCTATGTCACTGACTTAAAACAGTGGTGATTCTCTTAACAACTGGGTCAAGAACTGTCATAAAAAGGGGGCAAAATTCACTTAACATACGTCTTCCCTAGCAACATAATTTTTAGGCTCAATGATGGTCCTAAGTCAAGGCCCAAACTTCTACCTGGACCTGTTAAGATTTATAAAACAGCCTTTGGTGTAACATCTGAAACAAGTACCCTCATCTAGAGAAAGAATATCTTATGAAACAGGTAAAAAGGATCAAGAAATCCCTGCAGATTTGACTCCACTAGTTATTGCCAACTCTAGGGGTTGGTTGTCCCAAAGGGTTTTTTTGATTCTTTCAGGAGCCAACTGGACTTTCTGATTTTTTCTTTGAAGACGTTTCGCTTCTGGTCCCAGAAGCTTCTTCAGCTCTGATGTCCTGGGTGACTGAAAATCTCCATAGACCTATAGGGCTTGGTGCTCATCTCCATTCCAAGGCCGTTAAGCCAGCGTTTCCCGAAGACGCTTCACAATCATGTGGCCGGCATGATGTCATGGAACGCGGTTATTTTTCCCACCGAAGTGGTACCTATTTATCTACTCGCATTTGTATGCTTCCGAATTGCTAGGTTGAATTGCTAGGAGTTGGAGCAAGGACGTAGAGCAGCCCAGAAATTCAGAATTTCAAACGTGCGTCGTAAAATGCCCCCTTTTGGGGTCTGTCCTAACGTCGAGTGGTCACTAAACAGCCGATCGTAAGTCGAGGACTACCTGTATTCTCCCCACAACCACAACCCTATGAGGCAGGCTGGGCCGAAGGGAACCGCCTGGCCCAACTTCACTTTCATGCTGTGCCAGAAAGAAAGCCATTTCCAAGGCATCCTGTGTTTTAGCCAACAATCTTCCCTGTTTCCGAAGCAAGCTGTTCCCTCTCTGGTATTCTTGGAAAAGGAAAATGTAGGCTGAAAAATGGAGTTTTTGCGCCGTGCCAGTTTTTCATTAAAAAAAAAAAAAGAAGCTTTAAACAGAGTGGAAAATAAGAGGGCGGCACAGATGCCAAAGAGATAATTGTGAGCCTATTGGCACTCTGTGGTGCCACACTGGAGATTAAGAGGCCTGGGGAAATATACAGATATGACTAAATCAGCTTTGGAACGTTATTGATAGCAGGTTTTCGAGTGAAGAGGCCTTTGCATTCAGGGTGCAGCGTGTTTTGCTGTGTCTGTGTGTGGTTTTGAGGTTTTTATGTTGGTTTTCTGAGCAGCTAGATCATTTTCTATAAATGAGCAGCCATTTTAGTTAGTGTGTCTCAACCTTAGGTATTTTATGAGGTATGGACTTCAATTCCCAGAATTCCCCAGCCAGCTGGCTGGGGAATTCTGGGAATTGAAGTCCACAGCTCCATTTGAAGCTGTAATAACCTTGGAAATAGTGACTTACAGCCTGATCTTACAAACACTGAACCACTATCGAGGCTACAGCCAGGATCTCAGTTCAGGTGCTTGGCAACCGGTTCATATTTATGATGATTGCAAGCATCCTGAAGTTACACAATTGGTGATTTGCCCTCTTCCCAGCTTCCGACACACAAAGTCAGTTGATTTGCTTAACAAACTGCAATAAAACTGGTCAAATGATTATGGTTTGTTGCACGGTCAGCCAGATGTTCAGACTGGATTTGGCAATTTCGTCCCCTTATTGGGTCTTTTCCAAGAACCTGGGATAGGCAGATGTGGGTGTTTAATAATATTAAAGATATTGCTGCAAGTTGTAAGCGGTTCTGATTAAAATCTGCCTTTTGCAATTGACCGAAGGTGAATTTGACAGTGCCGATGGTGTTCAGGTGGATCTGGCTAGTCTGGTGAAGAGAAGGACCAGGGGAGACAGCATAGCAGTCTTCCAATATTTGAGGGGCTGCCACAGAGAGGAAGGGGAGTCAAGCTATTCTCCAAAGCACCCGAAGGCCAAACAAGGAATAATGGATGGAAACTGAACGAGGAGAGATTCAACCTGGAAATAAGGAGAAATTTTCTGCCAGAGAGAGCAGCTTTCAAGAAGAGACTGGCCTGCCATTTGTCAGCAATGGTGTAGGGTCTCCTGCTTGGGTCGGGGGTTGGACTAGATGACCTACAAAGTCCCTTCCAACCCTGTTCTGTTAATTCTGTTAAGTGATTCTTATTGTTATCATTATGAAATTTATTTGCTGTCCATTTCATTGTTCAGGCAACTCTAAGCTGGTCGTATTATCAGATCTGGTCCCATGGTGACTTGTTTAATGACCGCATCGTTTAGCAGTCCCAATTATGGTCCTAAGTCGAAAAATAACCACTAATTTCTCCATTTTGGATCTCTGCATCTTTATGAAATTTTAAAATGTCCTTTTATATTTAAAAAAAATATTTAATCTTAAATTATTCTGGTTTTACTGCTTAATTTTATGGATTGAATTATAAACTGCCTGGAGCCCTTTGCTGAGAGAGATGGGCTGTTAAGAAGTGTGAAAAATAAATAAATACCAGAAGGGAAGGGAAGGGAAGAGAAGGAGGGAGGGAAGGAAGGAAGAATGGAAAAGAAGGAAGGGAGGGAGGGAGGAAGGGAGGGGAGGGAGGATGGAAGGATGGAAGGAAGGAGGGAGGGAGGGAAGGAAGGAAAAAGAAGGAAGGGAAGGAAGGGAGAGAGGATGGAAGGAGTGAGGGAAGGAAGGAAAAGGAAAGAGGGAAGGGAGGGAAGGAAGGAAAAGGAAAGAGGGAGGGAAGGATGGAAAGGAAGGGAGGGAGG